GGCAACTCCCTCCAAACAACTCTTGCCAAGAAAACCCCATGATAGGTTTGTCCTAAGGTCGCTATAAGTTGTTAATAACTTGAAGGCACACAACAACACCACTACCACCACCAACAAACTTTTGAGCTCAGCATGTCTTGAAGGCTCCCTTAAACTGACAAAAAATTGAAAGTACTGTATCCTTGACTCTTGAGTGTACCAGTTTGCAAAGGGGTTTTGGCCTTGAGCCTAGTAAGTATTGAAGTTGTTCTCAAACTCTGTAATTATGAACTTCCAGAGGTAAGTAATGAATTGTGCCTTCACTACTGTGTTTGAGGACCAAATGTTCAAGGCGTGAATGAAACCAGCCAGAGGAACTTTATTTTGTATTCTCTTTTTCTGATCTTGAGGAGCTGATCTCATTGGAATATCTGGCTGCCAGCTCAACTTTTAACAGATGCTGTTTGCCTGTCAGTGCACAATTCATTCAATATGATCAATTACTTTATTTCAAGGATGGGAGGGGCTGCAGCTCTGTGACAGAGCATACATCTCTTTGCATAGAGAAAATCCCAGGTTCAATCTCTGACATCTTCAGTGAAAGGATTAAACAGGAGGCAATGGTGATGGTAAAGATCATTCTCTGGCTGAGATCCTGGAGAGTCTATGCTGGTCAGGGCAGAAAATATTGACTCAGATTGGGATGAGAATCATGTAGGTATTCAGATATTGTTGGATTACATCTTCCACCATTCCTCATCATTGGCCATACTGACTTGTAGGACTACTGGGACTTGCAGTCCAACAACATCCAGAAGGTCACATCATTCCCTCTCCTGCTTTAGATGGTCAAACAGACTGTTTGATGTGAAGTGGCATCCAATGTTCCTTTGTGTTAAGTTTATGTGTGCTTTTAGATTCACTTCAGCTGTGAGAATGAAAACAGTCACAAGTGGATGAAAGGGGAAGATAATCCTGTTTAGGAACATGGTGAGAGTTCTTCAAAGTTATGAAGTGAGGCAAGCACAAAAGAACTGCTCTTTCCTGACACTAGTTTTTGGGTGGCTCTTTTGAAAAGATCCAAATCTGAATCTTGTTCAACAAGTGGGAATGATGGGTCAGATTCACATCAGGGGGCTGCGCTGCCTCTTGCTGGCTTCTCTCAGCCGGCCCTGGTGCTCTGGTGCCATTCTGGCAGGTGAGGCAATCCATTCTCCCTTCCCTCAGCAGGAAGGGAGTTGAGAGGCTTTCCTCCTTGGAGAGATAGCCAAGGCAAGCTGGAGGCCTCACCAGAGTCCTTGGAGCATAGCTTCTCTTCCTTTCCCAGCTCAGCCATGGAAACCCACTTGGTGATCCTGGCCAAATCACACTCTCTCAGCTGGAGGGGAGGAGGAGGAGGAGGAGGAGGAGGAGGAGGAGGAGGGCGGCCTGGGAGCTCTCACCTCCATGGAGCACTCTGGCTGGGCTCCCTGGTTGAGGCAGCCGAAGGTGGGTCATGGCAAGGAGGAGGAGAGGGAAATGGAGCACTGCCGCCACTGCCGCTGCCATGGATGGTGAGGCGAAGGGCACACTGGAGAGCAGCCCATCTGGAGGAGGTGGAGGAAGAGAGGCCGGGGCCCAAGCCTTCCTGCCATGTCCCCACCCCTCCTCTATCGTTGTTGTTGTTGTTGTTGTGGTTGTGTGCCTTCAAGTCTGTCATGAGGTTTTCTTGGCAAGGTTTGTTCAGAAGGAGTTTGCCTTTTCTTTCCTCCTCCTCTTCCTCTCTCCATGGTAGCTGTTCTTCCTCCCCCCCCCCCCAGTGTGAATGACAAAGGGGAGTAAAAGGGGAGTAAATGGCCCCGGAGAGATTTGCTAATAAAATACCATATTGGGTTATTTCCATACCATGTTATTTTGTAGTGGGAATGAGCCCAATAAGAGGAATGAAAGAGGGAGAAAGAGGGTTTTTTTCTGTTTTTTTTTTTTGTCTTATACCAGGATAGAGGGAAGTCTGTATGATGTCTGGTTACATGAGGAATAGATATCATCATCTAAGCAAATCTTCTCTGTGAATTTGTCATGAGATAACAAACAAAAAGCTATGGGTATAATAAGGCAAACAAACAGTCTGCAAATGTATATAACAAATAATGAAATTATTTGAAATAATGAGCAAGGGCTTGCACCATGTGGATGGATACATCTTTTATTCCATTGCACGGTTCATCTCAGATGAATTTACAAATGTATATATACACAATGCAGAATGTCCACCATGTGCAGTCTTAGAAAAGCAAAAAAGCTTACACATTCCAGTTGTTAAATGATGCAACGTCCAGGTGGATATTTAATGGGCCATAGCAAATCTTGAATGACACTGCAGACTCCATAAATAATCCCTTTAAACAGATAGAACAGACCCCCTTTCTAATGAAAGGCTGTTACCCATTTTTTTCTTCATGTGGCAGCCATATTTTTAGTGTAGTATTTTTAGCATCTCCCAAAGACATGCACATGTTAGTGACAGACTTACCAGGTTTGATTATTTAAACACAGAAACTCAAACCAGGACACAGCAGCACAACTAGATATATTAGACTGAGTGGTTTAAGAGATGTACAACAACCTGTGCCAGTTCAGACAAAAAGTCCACTGAGAAGTGCATTTTGCTTCCAATGTTGGGCAACTTAACCATGTGAAGAAATTACACAAGTCTAACCTGCTGTTCCAGGGCTGTTGCATAGCCTCCCTTTAATTGTCAGGATAAATCAGGTAACACTGGGAAGGATCAATTGATGAGAAATTATCCTCCGAGTGGAGGTTTTTCAAAATACTCCAGTCCATTTGAAATCCATAGGGATTCTAAATGACATTTGTTCTTGTTTCCGACTTATGATGACTCTAAGGCGGGGTAGGCAACCTTTCCCCTTTAAGGGCCGAGGGACTTCAGCTCCCAGAAGCCTCAGCCATGTTGGCCAATAGTCCCACGTTGGCCAATAGCTCCTGGGATTCTGGGAACTGAAGTCCCTCGACCCTTAAAGGCGAAAGGTTGCCTACCCCTGCTCTAAGGTGACCCTACCATGGGGTTTTCTTGGTAAAGTTTGTTCAGAGGGGGGTTTGTCCCTGAGTGTGACATGCCCAAGGTCACCCAATGGATTTCCATGGCTGAGCAGGGATTCAAACCCTCACCTCCAGCATCACAGTCCAATGCTCAAACCACTCTAAATGATATATTTAGGATTAAATAGTATATAGCATGGGTAGGCAACCTTTCCCCTTTAAGGGCCGAGGGACTTCAGCTCCCAGAATCCCAGGAGCTATTGGCCAACGTGGGACTATTGGCCAACATGGCTGAGGCTTCTGGGAGCTGAAGTCCCTCGGCCCTTAAAGGGGAAAGGTTGCCTACCCCTGGTATGTAGCTAGAATCCTATTGGCTACATATATAACCCCCAGTTACTATAGTAGAAGGGACCATGAATAAAATATAATCCAGCAGACTATTTATATATTCAGAATATTGAGCCTATGGAGTTTATCACTGGGCTTTTAAAATCAGCTTACCTATATTTGGCTTAATCTTAATTCGGGTGGTATCCTGATCTTATTAGACTTTTTTGCTACCTGACTATAGCCCGTGTCCATCCCCGCTTCCAGAGCTGCTCCTTGCAGCCATTTTCTTAAGCTGGAAAATTCCCAGATCTGAAAAGAGCCATGAGGAGTGCTCCTGGAAGTGGGTATGGACATGGGCTGTATTCAGGCGGCAAATTCGGTGGCAAAAAATGTTTGACAAGATCAGGAAGCTACCTGAATTAAGATTAAGCTGGATAGAGGTAAGCAGATTTAAAAAGCCAAGCGATAAGCTCCTATATTATGAACATATATGACTTCTTTGACTTATAGTCTATTGGGGACATTCCCTGTCATTCGTGGTCCTTCCTTTGTCTTTACACCAGTATATGTAATTTGGGTTTTGTTTTGTTTTTCTTTTTTTGAAGAACCAGGTATTCCATATCCCCTTGTGCAAAGCCCCTTGTACAAAGTGCACAATAGCAGCTGGGGGTATCACAGGTTCAGCTCCATCAGTGGATCAGCTGTGGGGTATGCCCATGCTTTTTCCAGCTACCAGCTAAGAGGATGGACTTTCTATAGAGAGTGCAGGCTCCTTCTTCTGCCCCATGTGCCCAATGTCAGCCAGTACATAAGTGGATGCACGGCCACAGCCAGGGGATGGAGAAGGATCTGGGATTTCTATGCCAGCTGGTATTCCATAGTCAAGAAAGGAACAGGGAAGAAAGAGCTGCTTCTGCCTCTGAGCAATGATTCAAATATACCGGCAGACAACCTCTGCCAGTCTGCTTAATGAATCTCAGTCTTTATGTGCAAGATTATAGGTTTAGGACTACCGTATTTTCCTTCGTATAAGACGACTTTCTAAGCAGGAAAA